CACTTCCAAATAGAAAGACAGATTGAAGACATTTAAAAATAATAAAAATTGGCTTACAGGTAGATGATCAAATGTCATTATATGACAATGATGGAAACACCGTTTATTACCATTTAGACTGTTGTCCTTTCTCCCTTTCATTGTAGGAATTATTACATCCATATATCCATATCTATTGGAGTCTGCACCTCACTATATATGTCCAATGACAACACAGGTTGTAGTGTGCCCTATATGCTGCAAGGTGAAAAGATACGATGTGGAGTTTGGTTTGGTCAGTTGGCGTCCAGATGGACACCAGGGTTCAAATCTTGATATAAACTTTGCAATTAATGTTTGCATTTTTATGAGAGCCCTACCAATATAGTATTTTTAAGACCTAGACCAATTTTGATATGAGGATTTTGAAATCTGATATTCTGATATATTGGCTGATATTATTGTTGTGTTTTTTTCTTTTCAGAAACACTAAACATAAACAAAGATTATCGCTAACATATGTTATGTCCAGTTATGAGTCCTCACCAAGATAACATGACATAATGCAGTTATATATTGTTATAAATCAGGGGTATTAATTAAAATTCAAAGAGGTCAAGCAAAGGTTTGGAACATCTTAATGACTAACTTACGTTATATGTAGTATGTTGTCAACAATGGACTGTCAAATCAGATAAAAGACAATTCAAATATAAATTTTATTTTTTCATTTTTTTCACATTAAACGTGAGATTAAAAATAAGTATGCTATTATAATATGAATTCTCTTTAAGTAAAAGAAAGGCTTAAAAAAATATATATAACAGAGCTTTTAAAAAATGTGTATCTCAAAATAAAGTGCTTGACTTTAGAAAAATTAAAAAGTGTAGTTTGAACTAGTTTGTAGTTCCCCTTTTTTGTTAACTCCATTTTACATCTTAAGTCTCAACCAATTTTATTATAAACAATGTCAACACATCTTAACAATTGAACAGCTTTAACACCTCCTTCTCTCTTTAATTCTTACTTTCTCTTGTTCAGTGAGAAAAGTGAGCTCTAGCTTCTCCTGCCAGTTAAGCTTGTATTTTTCTGTGCCCTCAATTTGCATTTGAGTGGGTATGTTTGCTCAAAAGATTTGTGCTTTGACTCATGGTGGCGCTTCACATTGCTAACAATCGCGACAGTCTCGGACCATATGAGACATACTGGTTTTAAACTGCCCATGGGAAGCATGAACAAGCAGCATCTGTGGATTCTTCATTAAAAGCCATATGAAATTTCTTTTCTCTTTTGTTTCCTCTCTGCCTGTGTTTATCTCACTCCCTGTCTTGAGTCGCAATGTTTATCGGAAGATAAGATGCACAGATTTCATTGGCTGAGTAGCATCACATGATGAGATGATTGACAACGCATGCAATTGGTCTGAGTTTCCTGGGCCGTTAAGCCAGTGCTAATGCTCCAAAAGTTAATAATTAATTAATTAATTAATTAATTATCTGTTATAGGTAGGCTGGGTCTTGACCCGGACTGTGGTCCACCTATTAGTGACCTCGGTTATAAATAGTACTGTGAAAGTGCAGCTAATTATGTCAACTGATTGTTTTGTGGTGGATTTGTAGTTCCAAACAGGGGACTTGCAGAGTGTCCTCTGGTGGACTAACTATGCAACGACAACACTCATAACATGATTGAAGGATACGTCTAATTCTTATTAACTTTCTTTCCCTACCTTAACCTTAGCATCGTTGCCATGCAAAATAATGCAGAAGGTGAGGATTTCTATATTGACATTGTTGTCTGACGATAGGGTTGGTTTAAAAAAAAAAAAAAAAAAAAGAATTTACCAAAAAAACTGCCCGGGAATTTCTGGTCAGCCCACTCTCTGGACAAAGCCTTTGCCGGGGGAATTTTGTGCGTACAGTACATTAAAATACATTTTCTAAACTAGAAACACTTATATAGCTCTCCTCAAGTAATCACCTCATATGTGCCTTTTGAGTACAATAAACCACTTGAGGGCAACAACAATAAAAACCACAACAGGCCATTTCAATAAAAAAAAATGTATTTGAAAAGATATAAACAATCACGCAGTGCTTTTGGTCTTGTGAAAAAAATTTACATTTGAAGGGGCACCGACTTCCTGGCCCTGGCTATCTCTGTCAACAGATTATCCTCAGCCTAGATGAATTATTAGGATTAGTATTAGAATTGGGATATTATGTTGAATACCAAAAAAATATATTATGTTGAATACCAAAAAAACATTACTAAAAAACATACATTATTAATTTTAATTAATATCAGTACATAATGGTTGTTAATATACCTTTATTAGTATACGAGTCCTAGTAGGACTAGTCAGGGGAAGACTTTTCCATTAGGCAAGGTAGGCAGCAGTTGTTGTAGTAACAGAGTAATTTGCCTGGGCTCTGGGGCCTCATTTCTGCTGTCTATTTCATGTTCACCCATGTTGGTGTTAGTACTAGGTGTTTAATTTTGCGGCACTGAGTGTTGAGTGTGTGATTGATTGACACAGCCAATCATATTAAAACCCCACCCAACATCAGGGCCAGTTGATTCAAGGCAGATAACAATAGATTTTCAACTGCAGTTTTTTTGTCTCTATTTTAATACTATGTGGTACAATGCGGCCTAACAGGCAGGCCGATATAAGTCTAGGTAATGGAAATGCAAAAATCCAAAAGCAACTGTTGGTGTGTGTAGACCGAGCAAAAGTAATGCAGGGAGCTGGTGTTAAGAGTGTGTGGCTGAAGAGAGGGATCCAACTTAATGCATTAATTTTAACTATCCATAAACCAATTCTTTGTCCGTCATACTTCACATCTCTCCCTCACAAGATGCTCTGATGATCAGGTCCGCTTTATGGCCCCCTTTGTTTCTAAGGAAATTGGTAGTTAAAAAAAGCTTTTATGATTATAGCGCTTACTGATTGTAATGATTTACCTGTATATTTTCATTGTCTTCACTGGGCTTATTTAAAAATGTTAGATTCTGTTTAAACAAATTGCATGTGTTTTAGAACATACATTCCCATAGGAAAGCAAAATCCAAGATGAGATCTCATAGTTGTTTCCTTCTTTTCTCCTAGACACAAATTATCTGCTTTTAAAGGCCTTTTCTACCACTTCTCAAATTCATCTCAGGAGAAACAACAATATAAAATCTCATTTATGTCTGACTCTGATCAAAACAAGAGATCTCTAACTGATCTTAAATAAGTCTAATTTAACTCTCCTGAAAATTGGACCATGAGATCAGAGAAAGAGCTCAAAGAAAACTCAGCTATGACTCCTGGGATCTCATGATTCTTCTCAAATATGTCTCAGTTTTCTCATATTGGCCTCAGGAGCAAATAATTCATCTCTGTCTTACTCTAATCAAAGGATGTGATCTCTACAGTATCTTAAATAAGTGTAATTTCAGTCCAGAATGTGGATTAGAAAAAAAGCTCCAAGATATTTCTCAGTTTTGTCTTAGTGACCCCACTTAAGGGTTATTTTACTCAAGTACTTTACTTACGTCAAATGTTGAGGTTGAGTTTTTTTTTTTTTATGGGGGTTTGTACTTTTACTCCCCTTAATTTCAAATCCTTAATGTATTTATTGTTAATTATCTGTTACTGAGGAAGAAAACTAAATTTTGACATTGAAAATAATGCACTTTCAAATGTCATGCTTTCCAATTAGTTAAGGTAGTGACAGCCAGCATAACTGGAACACCAATACTTTGACATGACGTTTAGAGATTAACGTTAATTCATTAATGACCGAATGCACGCAAGAACTGATCTCACTTCATCTCATCCTTTTCTCCTAAGGGGTTTTAGGAGCAACAATTCAGATTGGAGTGATCTCAAAGATATACTATTGAGATCTTAGTGTTTTCTCAAGAGTTAAAGAAAAGAATATTCTGAGCAAAAGATTTTTCCTCTGGGTTCCTGCTATCCATCATCTGTTTCCTGCAGTGCCAGGACAATTGAAGGCCGTTGGTTTGTATACAGGGTAGGGAATTTAACACTTGTGGTTTAACCTAAGTATTTTTCAAACTGGACCTTATTTCCCCATGTTTCTTTTTCAACATGTTTAATTGGGATGACATTTTTAGAAATTGGTCCAGTATTGAGCGCGCACTCTGCAGTTGGAAGCAGCAAAACAGGGCTGCAATGTAATCCTTGCAGGCAATTTCACCCCCTCAAAGTACGTCCACTAAAGTGTTTTTGCCACTGACAGGCTCAGATTGTTATTACAAGTGACAACATTGTGGAAAGGATCCTTATAGAGACCGACCTTTTTTTAAATAGTAAGATCTTTTTTTTCCCCATCAGAAACAGAAGCCAACAGACTCCATTGATTAAAAATTTTACCTTTTCATTTTACTTTGCAGAACAGAGTTGCTGGTCTACTGCTGCCAGCGCTTAACAGTGCAAAATGAAAATCTTTTTTTGTCTGTGATTCTATTTTTTTATGTTATATTTATCAATCATTCATTGAAAGTCTTCTAACTTTCTCATTTATTTGCTGGTTTAATGGTTTGTCTGTTAAGGACAAGAATAGCCTAAATAGTATTGTGAAAGTCTGTTCTAAGATCATTGGAGCCCAGCAAAGAGACTTGTGCTCCCTCTGGAAGAAACAGGTGGTCCAGGAAGCAAAAATAATTATCAGTCAATCTGACCATGTGTTGTCCAGTGAATTCACTGTAATGCCCTCAGGCCAGTGTTATTTATATGAACAATAACAAAATGTTATATTTAATTACTGCTGCTCATTGTTTCTGTGTATTGACTTGTGTATGTTGTCTGTGGCATATAAGTACCTTGCTGTGAGTTTTTGAGTCATGTGTATGGACTGGGTAAGGTGCAAATGAATTGGCCCTCTTCAGATCAATAAAATTGTCTGTATCTGAACCAATGCTTCCAGAAATTCTAAATACAGATCACAGTGACAGCTTGTTAATGTTTCATTGTTCACTGTCTTTCTCTCTCTCTCCCTCTCTCGCAGGTGGTGAAGATGATGATCATCGTAGTGGTGACCTTTGCCCTCTGTTGGCTGCCTTATCATGTCTACTTCATTGTGACAGGTCTCAACAAGCGTCTGATCAAGTGGAAGTACATCCAGCAGGTTTACCTGTCAGTGCTGTGGCTGGCAATGAGCTCCACCATGTACAACCCCATCATCTACTGCTGCCTCAACAGCAGGTGGGTAACAACAGAGTATAGCTTTGCACAACAAAATGTTACCACTAAACGTCACCACTTTGAGACTGCTACCAAATGACACAACAAAAGTGAAATTATTTCATTATTATGTCACATTGTTGAGTGTAATTAAGTTCCATTATGTGTTACTACATAATAAAAGTGAGGCATGGTTTTATTAATTATGGAGCTTGGAGCTTTTATTGTTATCTCCTACTGATGAGAGAAAGAAAAAGAAATGAGCTTATTATATCTGGTGAAAACATTTGGGATGTATTAGCAAAGATAAAAAATTAAAAATCCAATTTTATGACATAGCAAAGGAAAATGAATCAGTTAATGAAGATGTTTCATGTTTTGTTTCTGAGTTTTATTCAGTACTGTGTGGTCCATGGTCTTCAAAGGACATGAAATTATTTGTAGATATGATGTTTTTATGAATTTAATTTGTAGAAAATTGGTCTTTTAAAATGAATAGTCAACCTCTCATGGAAAATGGATTTAATTCTTTCAAAAGAAATTACTTCTCCCAGGCGTCTAAAACTGTTTGGTGTATCAATGAATACAGTGTCAGTGCATTCAGAAAAGGATCCACGTACTGTCGGTTTACTGTTGTGTATGCTAAATACTGCACTTTCATCCCAGTTGACCCCTTTTTCGTCACTGCACAAACATTTAGACATGAATCACTAACTGAATATTTAAATGCTTCAGGGACACCTGGATACAATCTCTTCTCAGGTGAAGAATCAATCTTTGGTACAGCACTGTATATGGTGTATGCTGCATCTTGGAAAAGAAAACATGCATTGTTTATCAAAAAGTTATTAAAGGACTGCCAAATTAAAAAAAATGCCCATCAGACAGACTTCCTTGTATTTGTTTTCCATGTTATTATCTCTCCCCTTTCCAAACACTACCTGTGTTTGCCAACTCTTACCCTTTCCCCCTTGATGTGGCACCAGGTTTCGAGCTGGCTTCAAGCGAGCGTTTCGTTGGTGCCCATTCATCAAGGTGTCCAGCTACGACGAGTTGGAACTACGCTCGACACGGCTACACCCAACACGCCAGAGCAGCATGTACACGCTGTCACGAATGGATACAACCACGGTGATGGTTTACGACCCTGTCGAGGGTGGTGGCGGTGCTGCCGGTGGCTCCGGAAGGAAGCACTCCCTGTCTGCTAGGAAGAGAAGCTACATCACGTCTCGCCATACAGAGATCACAGGATGCAACGGTGGCAGTGTTAAAACGCCAAATGGAGTGGCTCCAAGTGCTCAACCTGAGGAGTTCTCTTGAAGGGTGTTCTCACAGACTTACAAAAAGTAAATGTGTTCACATGCATAATACACTGTATATATAAAACAGTGCGGAGATGTTTGCTTAATTTAGACATAGAAACATTGTATCAAGGTGAAAGTAGTGCAGGGTATGACCACATGGATATAGAGATTATTGAATATTTTAACTTGATGGATCACAGACTTTTTTAAGATACTCTGGAGCATGGATGGATTACTGAGCGGGCTAATTGGGCAAGTCAATGTTTCTAGCAGTTCTAATTAAAATGTCACACAGCTCAATCTATTATGGTTGTTTTTCTCCTGATTCTTTAATATTGGAAATTAGCTGATACAGGGCGTGATCAAAGTACTACAGTAAAAAAACCTAAGCAATTTAAATTTGTTTTACAGCAGAACAGCTCTGCTTCAAGAAACTATAGTATGTGCCACAGGTTTTTTCCCAATTTTTCCCATAAGATTTTGTGTATTTTCTATTATATCTGTGGAAAGGAGTGTCAGTATGGTTCTGGGGCCTGTTTCACAAAGAGCAGTGCATTCACACATATCCCAAAAGGTGGATCGTTAGCCACTGGGTCTGTGATGTGCGGTGTCCTGGTGTTGGACCCTTTACATGTCTGGGTCCAAGGGCCCCATGTCTCATAATCTGCTCATGATCAGGAGAAGCCTAAACAACTCACAAGTTGAACAATGCTTACAGTGTACGGTATGATCATCTAAATTACACTTTGCCATTGAGTGATATTTTCTCCACTTATCCAGTCAGCATCCCTTTGCATTAATGAAATTCTGTAAGTATTTGTCCCTCCTTCTTTACCCAAACATTCAGCTCTGTTTGAGATTAGCATTTAAACACAGTCAGTGCATTGCTGTTTTCGTTAAGGTCTCGGTCACTCAGTTCAAACAAGTGATAACGACATGACTCAGTTCTGCTTGGAGATTTTCAATTAAAATATTTGTTAAGATGGTGAGACCATCTCACAGTGGAGATAATCTGAAAATACATCATGGTGATTGTAATTTAGTTATTATGACATAGTTTTCATTTGTAAGTATTAACTGTGAACTGTGTGACACAGAGGTTACACTCTGCATCTGTTTCCCCCCTGAAGCCATGAATGAGGCTGCAGAGAATCACCAATGGAATAGCTCTTGATTGAACTCTGTTTGACTCTATATGTGGCTCCGAGTTCAGCTCTGAAAGTACTGAAACTGCATTTGGCTTTCCCATTATGTAACATGTAAGAAAAATGTTTCCTGGGAACTGGTCACAAGCCAGAGGCAAAATCCAGTGTACATTTGTAACACATAAATAAACAGGCTGCTGGAGAATGAGCAAATTGAAATATATATAAAATAATGGAAGCTGCACAGTAAGGTGCAATCAGCCTTTCTTTTACTGTTCAATAATGTTCTTTTAAATGCCTTCTTATAATGTGTTATCAGAAAGCAGGACAGTTTTCATCTATTGCAGTTGTTGGTTCTGTTGGTGTTTCAGTAGTTTCTTCCAGCATGCTGTTATCCTGTGTTGCATCTTAATTTAACTCACTGCTTGTGCGCACATGAAGTGTTGAAACTGCACCAAGCAATACACTAGCCTGTGCGATGTTGGGTTTACAATATGATAAGTGGAACCATACTGTGACGAGTACGACTACATGAGCTACAGGAACAGTATGTCCCATCTGACTCAGTACACAGCAACACACAGACAAGATTACTAAGAAGAGTGAGAAAAACCCTTACTGTATGTGTGTACTATATGAGTATTGCTATAACTCACTGCTGAAAACTAAGCATGTTAATATTTTGCCATCAATCAGACTCTTTAAAGATACTTTAAAAAATAACTTATTGAGTGTACTGCTAGTTGTAGTAAAAGCTGAATTTGTAGTCCAACCGTTTGTGATAGCAGGTTATGTATACATTTAATACAATTATACATTGTTAAACAAAAGGCAAAGGTTCCCAGCAAAGGAAGAAAAAAAACTCCATAATTATTCTTACCAACAGTTCTGAATGTTCAGACTTCATGAAAGTATTTACACAAGAATGTGAAAAATGTGAATTTTTAAGCTGTTGTCTAATCATTATATTGAAGTTTGTGAAATATTTGTATGTGGTGAGTTGTTTTTTTTTTTTTATGCTTTTCTGTATAAAAAGTATGTGTTTTGTATGAATGTACAGTACAATGTGTGCCTCTATCGCCGTCAAGTCGTGACCGTATTATTTGTTGTCTTTAAAGGAGAACTAGTTCATTTCAATCTGAGCCTCATTTCTTTGTTCTTACCTCCACAGAATCGAGTCTGAAGTTATTATTACTTCCTTTCCTAATTTGTCCCTTTTACTTTACAGAAAGCACTGCCTACGGAAGCCCTAAGGCCGCCATCGATTCAAATATTTTTTTATTCCATTTTCCTGTGACAACGGGATCATTTTCTCGTGATCTCGAGATAACAAACCATAGCTAAATACAGCAGTTGGCACTGGTTAGCTCAGATGGTAGGGTGTAGGACTTATAATCTAATGATTGTGGGTTTGACTCAAGCAACTACTTTCCTATTACTTTTGTGTGTTTTTTATCATCCTCTTCAAACAAAGTTGTTATGAAGTGATTAAGGAGAATCCTATCACACATTTCCCGACGGCAATTTCAAAGGTTCCGAAATTGCTTAAGTTCCGAAAATGATGAATTTCCTCTGCCTGGGAATGATGGGTGAATGAAAAGTCCAGCCTCCAACGTGCTTTATTGTGAGCATGTGAAACCGTCTCTACATAAGAATTTTGTTGAAGAGGATAATGAAAAAGATAAAAAAGAAAAAAATAGGTCATAAGTGAGGATTGAATACACAACCCTACTATCATAAGTCTTGTGCTCTACCTACTGAACTAACCAGTAACACTGAAAACAATACTGAAATTATCATTAAGAAATGTTCGTGCCAACCCCTGTGTTGAACTACTGTTTTGTTATCTAGAGATCACAAGAAAATTGTCCCATTATCACAGGAAAACAACATGCGTTATCTCAAGATCAAGAGATAATTATCCCGTCATCACGGGAAAACAAAGTAAAAAAATATTTTAGTCGATGGCTGCTTAGGGCTTCTGTAACTGCCTCACTACAAAACAGGACTCTGGTTGAAAATAACTATTTTATTCTCCTTTAAACAAATAATTATAATGTTGTTATTGCTGGCAAATAATTATTGATATGATACTAGTGACTTCAAATGGTTTTTCATTGCTCTGCATTGGTCAGTGCTGATGTATTTGCTTAATGTAGCTTTATTTCAGCAGTCTTCCTCATAGTATCATGAGTGTTGAAACGTGACATTACATGCTTATGATGAAATGTAACCGTGACTTGTTGCAAATGCAGTCAAATTTTACTGAGAAAAAACCCTGAGCAATAGTGTTTTGTTTTATGTTAGTTGTCAGCAACAATTCAGGTTATTGTAATAATTTGCAACTTTTAAATATCTCAATTTGTTTATATTTCTCAATTATGTATACCCTAAAGCAGGGCTTTTCAAAGTCTGAGACTGCGGGCCTCCCAGTCAGTGAATGTTTCACTTCCATTCACTGAGCCTCCACTGAAACAGTTTGGAGCCCCCCTACGGAGGCCTGCCTCACACTTTGAAAACCCCTGCCCTGAAGCATAGATTCGACCCTGTAGAAGAAAACTGCAATAAATTTCTTGCAATTAACTCTACCACCTCATCTCACAATTACATCTAAGCATTTTAATTATTTTATTATTATGAGGTACTTTTCTCATAATTACCAAATGTTTGTCTTGTTATACTGGGAAGATAAAGAATGCACACCTTATGAGCAGAAACTGCAAGAAAAAAGTAACCAGTTCATTGCTACCACTGCCTTCCACAAATTCCACAAAAACACACAAACTATGTTTAATTTGTATAATAAACATATATATATAAAAACAATACTCTCTCTGTAGACGTGATCAGTGCACTGCACAGACTGAAATTCTGTCATTCTGCTATATTTAAGCGTTTCAGCCACAGAACAAAAAACTCATGGTTATTCATTTTTTGGTGTAGAAGCTGCTGTCAGATCATTGAAATGCAGTGCAGTGACCACTCACCCCCAAATGAGTCACAGAAATTGAGATCAAAAAAATGTTGTGGATTATAACATTAAGTTGTCTTTTATTAAAGTGTAGATATGTGTCGTTGTCTTGCTATAGAAAATTGGTTAATAAACCATTCATTCTTTAACACTGAGTATGATTATTGGAGCAGAAGGGGTAGAGGACCCTTGTCATCATACCAATGTAATAATAATCCGTCAGGGGAACCATCTGAAGATTTAGAGTTCCACTAAAAAATAATTTGTCCTCCGAGCCCACAACTTATGACAGCAGATGTGCGAGAAGAACAATCCTGTTAAAAGTTGGAATTGAGACCACAACTACTCAAAATGTCTTTCTTCTTTGCAATATCACTCAAGTGAATACATTTGATTCAACTTTTTGCACAGTAGGCTAAAGGCCATATGTGCATAGCTTATTGAACGAGGATACCAAGTTTAAGAAAGCCATGCTTTTGTTGTTGTTCTGCGAGTAACCAAACTAAATCTTGCCTGATCTGAGCAAGGCAAAATGGCTGCTTGCTCATACACCTTTCTTTTCAGTTTACAAGGTAGATATATTACACAGGGTTGTATAACGAGATCAATTTGCAGTTCCCTTTATGCAAAAATTTTATATATATACAGTGGACAGTAAACTATTTTACATGGTGCATCGCTGAGGAAGAAGTCTCACAGCCTTAGGGAAGAAGCTGCTCTGTAGTCCGGTGGTACGGCAGCAGATACTTCTGTATCTCTTGACAGCAGCAGGGTGAACAGGCTGTGGCTGGGGTGGGTGTAAACAAAACCAGGAGGGAGTTGAGCACGCAACCGTGGGCGGCTCGGGTGTAGGGAACTAGAGTGGAGGAGGTGTGACCTCTAATCCACACGGTCTAGGGTCTGTTTGTGAGGAAGTCCAATATCCAGTTGCAGTTAGCCATTCAGTTTCATGGGGGAGATTGTGTTGAATGCTGACCTGAAATCATTAAAGGGCATTCTGATGAAGGTGTTGTTTTTCTCAAGGTGTGTGAAGGCTGAGTGGAGGGCAGCGGAGATGACATTGGCTCTGTCTGAAATACATTTTAGGTACAGGGACGATGGTGGCTGTCTTGAAGCAGGTGGGAACACTCTCCTGTGACAGTGATATGTTGAAAATGTCACTAATAACATCAACTAGCTGATT